TATATATATATACCAATGTATTTGTTGTGTGGCCATTTAAGTTGAAGCACTTTTCCTTTGGAAAAAGATGTCTGAAGTGAGTCATCTTATATACGAGTTACTAATGGTAATGCTAGTGCTTACTGTAGGAGCAAAAAGTGAGAGCTTCACTGCAGAGCAAAGGCACATGGATGCTATGCCTTTTTCATGACGCTATGGATAGACAAAAATAACTCTTATAAACATACATATGTACAACACCAGCTAAAGCATCAAAATGCTTATAAGATATACGGTACTGTGGAAAATGTCAGTTTTTCTATAATACCACAACCAGCTTTGATCAGGTGGATGATGTCTGGGTTACTGGGAAATGTCTTATAAATAAAGAGCATATATAGATTTTAAGTGCTTACTAACTAATATAAACACACTTTCATACTCCAATGGATGCATCAGAGAGCAACTTCAGGTTAATATCTTGGCCGAGAATATTTGGCATGCAGACTAGGGGGAGTCAGAGATTGAACCATTAACCAGGTATGATTTCATTGCATTGGTCTGTTTGGCATAATGCAGTAACACTGAACCTTTCTCAATCTGACACTTTCTCAATGGCATTGCATGGTGGATCAAAATCTAACAGTACTTTTCTGTATCCATTATTTCTTACATTTTGACACATTCTCCCACACTGCTCCATGAAATACTGGCTCAAACCACGACACAAACCTGCAGACACTCACTGCTATACCTCTCTCCTGACCTCCTCTACACATAATGACCATTTGAACCAAAGATTTCTATTTCGATTCATCAGTCCGTAAGACCTGTTGCAACTTATTTTTGTGTCTTTTGGCAAAGCTCAGCTGTTTATCCTTAAGAGTTGCTTCTTGGCAGCAAGCAATATCAACCTCATTAAATAAGACATGCCTTTTCTCATTAAATATCAGGACAATTTGCAGTAAACTGTGTGTTGCAGACTTTAGTTAATCAAAAAGAAGCTCCCAAAAATACACATGCAGCAAGTCCAGTAAAAATATCTGAGTTCCTACCTCTTACACAAAATCTTGTCACTGCACTCTTTGTAAATACAGGCATTATTTTTTGTATCCCAAAACGCATTAGAAAAGCTGGCCCTGAGATATGTTTGGATGATGCTTTCTACAAACTAAGTAGTTAAAGCTTCTATAGGTGGCTTTAACCAGGTAACTTTAACCTTCTGGTGGAAATAAATTACCCCTTCTCTACTTTCAGAACCTCTTCACAAAGTGTAGTGAAATACGATTTGCTCTGGAGCAAATACAATACACAGTGTAGGTAGACAATAATGCAGTCTGAGCACACTCTGCAGTAATTGCAGAGGAGGGAAACACTGCGAGAGACCCTTTAGCTATTAATTGGAGTTTTTTTCTCTCTCTTTATTTTCTCCTGCAGCTGTTCGGGCATGTCAGTGCATCAGAGGGATGGATAAAGGAGAGCAAATATCTTCCTTTCAAAAGGCACTTCAAAGCCATGCAAAGACCGTGATGCTGATATTTATGAATAATTTTTTTGACAGTGCCTGAGTTTGGTTGAGTTTTTTTTATTTTCCCTGCCCCCTCCGCCTCTTACTAGATAAGCCAACTGAATATTGCATCGAAAAAATGTTTTATACCATGCCCGGGGGTTCTGTGAACAGAGATGACACATCTCAATGATTGATGTGCCTTCATTGTGAGCGTCTTCGATTGGAAAAATAAATGAGTGAGGAGGAAGGCTGAGTTGGTAACGGATGAATTTTGCCTGCAGTGTTGACTAGCCTGTTCCAGTTTGTGGAGGCAAAGGTTGAACAATGACAAAAAGTTCATTATTTAAAACATATTACTTTATAAATATGAAACCTTTATAGCAGTTTCATTAAAGCCCGCTCTCTCTGTTATTGTTACCACTTAACTTTGTGCTAGTTGAACAGTAAAAGACAGATTTGAGTTTTTGAAATGATGATGTCAAAGTGAGTACATTATATTTTTGTAACCACACACACATACACACTAAAAACCCTTTAAATTATGTGTGAAAAATTCTTTCCACCGAACTAACAGCTCTTTAAATTCACTGACACACCAGACAGGCATGCTGGAAGGTCACTGTAGACCTCCCTCTTTGCACAGTTTACTGTATGTACCCTGTTACCTTAAAGGTCCTATTAATAGCGGTGCAAACAGCAGTCTATACATGGCTGCACCATTATATGCCCAAAAGGAACCAACTATTATGTCTGTGCCACAATGCTTAAGGGACACAGCTTTTTTTTATTGTTTAATTTGTTGACTTTATTTTATTATACCAACAAACTCATTTGTTGACTATCTAAGTACAATTTAAACTTCAAAAGAACTCTAAGAACTTAGGCCAATTTTCTATCTAGATCAAGGGTTCCCGAGCAACACCAAAATTTAATGAGATCGTCCTTTGGTCTTGCTCTTTGCCAAGTTCCAGTAGCTCTACAACAAACAGAAAGTCCTGGCTTTTGCATTAGCTGATGACTGAAAGAGCATTCAGGCTGCTATTAATGGCGTTTTGCAGTTTTGCACAGCAGTCACACTTACAGCGTACGTTTACAATTATGCCACTCTTATTGTATTTATTACTACTGCTAATGTGGGAATTAAGAACTTTAATTAAGTCCAGAGCTTAAAAATATAATCGCAGAATTTTACAAAAAATATTTTTTTTTAAATGAAATTCACTCTCACGCTTTTTCCTCTTTAGATGCTTATAATCAAATGCAACAATACAAGTTTTTTTTTTGTTTTGTTTTTCTGCCATTTTAACCTCGTGTAGCCTATCTACAAATTCCTGCACAAGGGAGGAACATGCAAAATGTAATGTGTTATAACATTGTGAACTGCAGGTACTAGCTGTGAACAATACAGTGAATGACGGTCAGATTAGTGTTGATGTTTTCACACAGGAGTACAGCTGATCCTCTCCATTGGCCGATCACTTGCAAAACCAACAAACCCTGCTCGTAACATTTCTTTAGAGATACCCTTCATAGCAAGGCTTCCAAACTGCAGGGTGTCAGAGACAGCAGCACGGATGTATAACAGCAATTCAACAAGTTGAAATAAGAAACTTGATAACTCCTGATGTAGATGATCACATGGTTAATATTCAGTAGAGGTATTTCTAGGATTTTTTGTGGCAACCTGTATTGTTTGTAGACTGTTTTAAGACCTAGCACTAAAAATCCGGCCTACATATACGTCGGGCAGAACTTAATGGGATGATAATGATTTCTCTGCTCTAATATCCCAACTGGCTGTATTCGTTTTACATATCCTGGATAAGCCAAAAATGCTTCACAGTATGGGGTTAGCATGTTAGCTTTAGGGGCACAATCACAAGCTTAGTCAAATCCAGTTTAATTCAATACAATTTTATTTATATAGCGTCAAATCACAACAACAGTCCCCTCACGGCTCTTTAATAGACATGTGATAAAAGAGAGAATAACTCTCATGGTGTTCATTTAAAACTTTGATTTCTTTTCTGCACATGGTATTGCAAGTATCTGAGCATGTTCAGATGTAACCACATTAACATATTGGTCATATACATATATATCTACAAAACAATTTATTTGCAGAAAACCTAAAAGATTACATTTTAGGGTTCAAAAGCAACTCTACAAATTATTAAGCATTGAATGTGTTAAAAGATCCTACATCACAGTTTCTAAACATATATTTATAGTACAAACACTTCTGTCTGAAGTAGTTTCTGTTTGCATGGTAAGCATCACTTATGACATTTTGTGTTGCCATAACCACCATAGTATGTGGAAAGAAAGAAATATACTAAATCCCTCATCCTCGGTGGTCAGGGCTGTTTTTCCTCAGACATCGAGCTACTGCTTTTTTTTGACTGGGTTTTAAATTAGTATAATATGTTAGAGTCCAAACAGGCTGGGGACACAAGCTGCTTATTTTGCAGTTAAAGAGCAACAGAGTGGACTTTAGATCTCAGTGTCTTGCAGTTTGTCATTTTTGTTTTTGTGCACAGATTGCAGCATTTGCATATTTTATCATACATATTTCCTTTCTGATTGGTCTTTTGCTGCTTTGTTCTGCTGCTGTTGCTGTAGCTCATATGTTTTCAGAGTTTTCTGCTGCTAGTTCTGTGTTCTTGACTAATTAAAACTTTCGATAGCACTGATAACCTTCATATGTATAAATAAACTTAAAATACCTATTTTCAGCACGCTGTGTTGTCACATATAGATCGTGCATACAGTGGCATGTTAGGCTCATTGCTGAGGCCAATCTGTGTGTGTGTGCGTGTGTGTGTGTGTGTTCTTTGGTCACTACCCAAAGCTCATCATTTACATCACTCAATTTATCTTGTTTATTTAATTTAATAAAATTGAATAAAGTAATAAAGTAATTTAATAAAAATAAATTATTCATTAACCAATAGGTGAATTTAGTGTAAAGATGTTCTTTAAAATGCACTAATAAACTCTGGTCACCTAATTTTCTGATTATCTTTACCTGCACTGGCCAGTGCCATCTTCACAGCCTTATAAACAAACCTTTGCCATGATGCAACCAAAAAGCAGTCTCAGGGATTGAGCACATTAAGCACAATGAATACCTGTGCCTTCCACTGGGATGACTGTGAATTTGTGATTTGCTGTAGACAGTTGAGAGCGAAGAGGCAGCTTGTTAAATGAGGGTAAGCCTGGTCGAGCAGGCAGTCCCACACAGCTCTCAACTGACATTATTGAACAGATGGCATGAGAGGTCCACACTCATAGAACAGGACACCCCAAGTGCTAAATAAACCAGAATACCAAGAAATAATACCGCAGCTGGCCTGCTCTGTATTTTTCTGCGAGGGATGGAATAATCCTGCAGCGCTAGGATGAAAATAAAAGGCTCTGCTTTGCTGGAGGCTGATTAAGATTAAATTGTGTGCTCGAAGACATTTTAGGACCAATTCAACAACACAGGTGGTCCGTGTAGTCAAAAACAATACTCACAGTCAGGTCCATAAGAAATTGGGCAGTGACACAATTTTAATAGCTTTGCCTCTATATTCCACTATAATGGATTTTCAATGAGGCAATCACAATGTGGCTAAAGTGCATGCTTTCAGCTTTAATTTGAGACATTTAATGAACATATTGCATTAATTGTTAGGAAATAAGCAATTGATTTTAGTCCGTCAATTTTTACAGGCTCAAAAATAATGGACTGACGTCAGACCAACATGTTGGCAAACCTGCTGGCTTTAAAAGTCAGAGGAGGGTGTGGCAGAGGAGCACGGCTTTGTGAAAACAGAGAGACACTGCTGGCTTAGGATCAGCAGACCAAATCAAGCATAAAACTGGTGTATTAAATTGAGCAAAAGTTTTGACCTACCGCCCTAAATGACATGAAAGTATGCTGCATTAAAATCTGTCAAAAAATTAAGTAAATGTAACCCCATGCTAGCAAGAACAAAGGTGTCCAATTATATAAATGTTAAACTATATACATGTATAAACTAAAAAGTCAAATTTATGGCTTTTTGGTTTAAAATAAGCTTGCTCAACCAGAATCCACCTGCTATCAGTTGCGTGAGGCCACATTTTCTGCAAACAAATCAGCAACTTTGCTCCACTGCTTGGGTGTTGTTTCTTTCCCCCCTTTTTTT